AGGACTGTGTGGAGGACTGTAAGGGCAAAGGAAATATATGCAGCGGCAAGGGAGGTATTGGGTTTTGTGTGTTTGGGCTTTGTTTGGAATGGAAAAGGGAAGATAAAATTAAATAAATAAAGGTAAAGTGGAGGTAGTGGGAATTATGAGGATTGTGTGGGAAGAAGACAATCTATTATATATTATATATATATATAAGATAAAAAAATGTTTGGGCGGTGGAAAAGGTGATGATGGTTTTGTGTGGAGGCATATATTGAATATATTGGAAAAAATAAAATGTAATGGACGTCAATATTAAAATAAAAAGAAAGGATGTGTGTGCTGGTGTATGCATGTGTTGTGTGCATGGTGGAGCAGTGTGCTAGTGCGTGTGGATTTTTTTTTTTTTTAAGTGAAATATCTTGGGGCATGTGGGTTGATTATTAAAGAGAAATATCTTGGGTCAGCAGCACACATCATGTTCTTTGCATCCCACATTTGCTGGGTCAGCTCTGGGACTGAGAGAGATACATAACTTTGAGACCTGCGAGAAGTGAGTGGTGCAAAGCCGACCATGAAGAAATGAAGACGTGGGAATGGGATTAGGTTCACAGCAAGCTTTCGCAGGTCAGAGTTGAGCTGGCCAGGAGTTCACGATTGAAGAAGCAACAATTCGAGAAATCCAGCAAGCATTTGCAGACAAGAAGCTCACATCAAGACAGCTCGTTGACTTCTACCTGAACCGAATCCAGGAGCTGAATCCGGTGCTTCGCGGCGTAGTGGAAGTGAACCCGGACGCTCGAGATCTAGAGAGAGAATAAATTGTATGTATTATTGATTGTATGTTATGTTATAAATTACAAATGGTGAGGGGCTCCTTATATAGGAGATGTAGTGGAGTAGGTGGTAGTAGGTGGTAGTGGTAGGTGTGTAGTAGGTGGTAGTAGGTGGTGGTAGGTGTAGTAGGTGGAGTAGGTGATGGTAGGTTTTAACATTAATTATATCATGCATAAGGCTGTAATATAAGCATACATCTTGATGAGAATATTAAGAGCATCAGTGACCTTTCACGGCAGTAAAATTGAGACAACCCATTTTGCCATAAACAAATGTTACCAACTACTTAAATATAAATTACACTAATTTTCTGAATCAGACTTAAATTTCCTTTTCCCTGAATTGTAATCCCAAAGTAAAACTTTCTAGTTCCCTAATCCTAGAAGTCAAAGATTTACCGTATCTTTTGAACTAAATAATGGGACCATGCTCTTGAATACAAATTCAGAAAACATCAACAGCCAAAACATCAAACCATATTGAAGAATATATTGTACATGTGAATTCAGAAGATGCAGTTTATACATTATATGCTGCTATTGATCCAACATACTGATCATGTTTCCATCACACATTTGTTCTTGTTTACACATAGCAGTCCCTCTATTGTAATGTTTCATTATTCCACACCAGCAAGTGTTAACACAATGGAGAAGAATAAATTAATCTTTTCAGTAAGTAAATGTAAAAATAAATTGATAAAATATACAAATGATCCTGACTCCCAGTGAACAATTGATTGCAATACACAGAACAAAGTCAATACCTCTTTCTTCTTCAAGTCTGCCAAGCATGACTCAAGCAGTCCATGGTAACTTGTATACCCACAGATTAAAGCAGAACCCCTCGGGCCCATTCCATGTGCTAGGGCTGCCTAAAATAGGAGGGCCAAAACAACTTAGGCAAATGTCTAAAGAATAGGTAATACAAACAAAGTAAATAAAATGTTGTTGACCATTAATGATTAAACCCACCTTTGCAGCAGCTGTTGAAACAGTAGGATGTGAACTCAAGCCCAAGTAATCATTTCCAGAAAATAAAAGTAGCTTTCTAAACTTCTGAGGGCAGGCTCCTGTTTCAGCTTCTTGGTTGCCACAGTCAGCATCATCTCCTACAACCATACAAAAGATCAAAGGGTCATACTAATATAACAGATCATTGGGCTATCAATAAGAGAGGAAAATGCCCAAAACCAAAAAAGTTAGAATCTCAAGATAATTTTTGCATGTTCCAAAGCATTTTACATATTTCTATACTATTTTTACACATTTCAATGCACTTCATACACATTAGAATTTTCCAAGATAAATACCATAACCTTCAAACAATAGGATGTTTTATCATTCTACTTTTTATTTTAATTTATTTTTTAGATAGGAGGGTAATAGGGGAAGGGAAGCTGCACTCACAGCGGTAAGACTTGAACCCAGACATCAAACTTGGCACGGGAGCACGCATCCACTAGGCCAACCCCTTAGTCCATTCTTCTATATTTTGGGGAACTAAAATGTTTAGAAAGAAACTGCCATACTTTGAAGCAAGAAACTATGTAGCATTGTCATGGTGAGGAATTCCCCTATTTAGTTACTAGACTTCGACCACAAATGTAGAGTTACAGTTTTATTTGAATATAACAATTCCCTTATTTCTCAAATCAATTCCCTTATTTAGCTGGGGGAAGTGCTACTGTATACACCTCCAATGTATGCACTCAAAATTTCAACTACAACAGTTAATAAATTTCATCAATTTGGTCACTTATAACCAAAACCACATTAGTTCATAAACAGAAACACCACAAATGACTCATAATAACCAAGGCCACTTCAGTCTATAACAAAAAACTACAAAAGCTCATAACCAAGACCTCTTCAGTTTATAACCAAACACTACAAAGAGGCATAACCAAAATCAAATTGAATCATAATAAAAAAATTAAAAAAATATCACCAAAAAGTCTCACAACCAAGTTCACCACAAATTCTCATAACAAAGCACCACATGATCCATAATTCAGACCATAATTCATACATCACCATATAATTTTCCCACAAATAACATTGAATGAAAACCATGTTAATGTGCTGAATTCAAAAACTCAGAACTCATTCAAATCAAAACAAGCCCACAAAAAGATGAAACACAAGAACACAAAATGAAACCCAATTAAATTAACCGTACCACAACTCGGAACCTCACGAACCCATCTCTGAAATGTGCTATCAGCAATCACTACTTCAACAGATGCCCTATCCCATTGCCGCAAACCGTCGAACGCCTCGAATTCATCGTAATTTGAAGCATTCTTCATCTGGGTATCGATGGGTTTCGATTGTTCATTGATGGGGAGGTGAATGGGTCTGAGAGAACGGAGGAGTTTCAGAGATTCCAACTTGGAAACTGCCTCTTCTACCCATTGGTCCCATAAGCTCATCTCCATTTGCTGACACCAAAGAAATGCTAATGCCGTGAACAAATTGAGTTCAATATATATACTTGAAACTAGAAGAGCCGAGAGAGAGAGAGAGAGAGAGAGAGACAGAGAGAGAGACGAATAGTGTTGTATTTGTTGTAGTGAGCTGTTAGAGCGAGAAAACAAACCCAATTGGTAGTTGGAATTGGAAAGTCACGAGAGAGGTTTGGCCATTTTAAAGAACGTTTTCGGGGGCGGCAAAACGGTTGCCACCCATAAAATTTTAAAAAACGTTTTTTTTTTTTTTTTTTTTGGGTAATAAAAAGATATTATAAAGCTAAGTTTTTTTTTTGGGTAATAAAAAGATATTATAAAGCTAAGATAAGTCAAGTACAAATCTGAAATAAGAAGTTCTCATGGCATCCATACAAACATGTTCAGTAATAAAACTAAGTATGGTAGGATAAATATGAAGGCCTTCAGTTAGCTTGTGTCCTTTGGCCAGCAGCTCCGCACAAGTGTTTGCTTCACGAAAAATGTGATGAATTTCCTGTACTCCGAGATGGTTGAGGAGCCACCTGCAATCAGAAATTAGATTACTAAACGGATGATGTATTGGAGGCCGATTGTTCAACAGATGTTGCAAAGTGGTTGCACCTGTCTCTACTTCAATATTAGGCATGTTGAGGTCTCTTGCCAATTGTAACCCATCACGAAGTCCCCACAATTCTGCTGCAACACTAGTTGTGTACCTAATGTTGCGGCTGAATCCACTGATCCAAGTACCATTAGAATCTCTGATGATACCCCCTGCTGAGGCTGCCCTAGGATTGCCGAGAGCTGCTCCATCAATGTTGAGTTTGAATCAGGGAAAGTCGGGAGGTTTCCAGTTCACGAAGGATAAAATCTTGGTCTTGGGTGGATGAGGAAAATTTGAGATGAATTGCCAATGAACGGCAATAGCAGTGATGGCGGTAGGGTTGATGAGGGAGGGTGGATTGGTATCAAAACAAAAGGCGTTGCGGTGTTTCCAGATGGTCCAACAGGTGAGGAGAAAAATGATAGCCCAAAGACACGATTGATGGCAAACGTTCGATTCACAATTAATGCGGAGCCAATGGGAAGTGTCTGAAGAGAATGAGGGGGTGAGGGATTCGGGAATGCCTAGGCGGGTCCAAAGGGCCCAAGAAGAGGGACAATCACGCAGAGCATGGGTGATGGTTTCAGGGTGGGATTGGCAACAGGGACAAAGGTTGTCTTGAGTAATCTTTCGAGTGAGAAGGAAAGATTTGGTGGCTAATCTGGCATGTGAAGCAAGCTAAAGGAAGTGTTGAATCCGGAGGGTGGTGGGCGCGTGCCAAATCCATGACCAACTAAGGAAAGGAGGGGTAGAAGATGGTTTGAGGGCAAGGAGGTAAGCCGATTTATTGGTGAAAATACCATCATGTGAGGATGTCCAAGTGAAAGTGTCTTCAGCGTGAGCATGCCAGAGAAGTGTGGTGCTCTCAATTTTGGATTTAATAAGATTGGGGAGGATGGTGGAGAGGCAGTCAAAATTCCAATGGTGGTTAATCCAACGATCCTCAATTTTGAGGCCCAACTCTCTAAGAACAACTCAATTAATAGCTAAAACAGCTATTAATGTCAAAATATGACATCTTCTGCAAAAAATAACATTTACACTAATACGATAACATTGTTAAAATTTAATTTATTAACTTTATAATACGATAAATTATAACTTTGGCATTCGCATTTGACAATTACTGGTGGAGATGTTCCAATGGAAGTCATACAAAGTAATGCCTACCTATCATAGTATTATTATTGCAGTAGATCCTCTTTCTTTTAATATTTGTGTTACTTTTATTGAGGTTGTTATTAACATGACACACTATTAATAATGCTTTAATAGTTGTATAATTAGTTTCAGAATAATTTTACACGTAATCTCATTTCTTATGTCTTGTTACTTTTAAACATAAAGTAATATGATTCACATTTACAAATGCATATATGACTTATATACTTGTGTTATTTAATAAAAAATATAATTTCTCATCTCTTTTTAAGTTACGAGTCTATGTGTGATCGTTCAATTAGATTGGATATTTAGCATTGCTAACAAGTGATTCTGAACACTAGTTAGAATTAATTAAATAAAGAATAATACGTATCCAAAAAATTTGAGCAGATGGTTTAATCAAATGCATGCAAACAAATAAATCTTTCTTTATTTTTGCTTTAAACTTTATTTATCTCATTTTGAATTCAAAAACTCAGAACTCATTCAAATCAAAACAAGCCCACAAAAAGATGAAACACAAGAACACAAAATGAAACCCAATTAAATTAACCGTACCACAACTCTGAACCTCACGAACCCATCTCTGAAATGTGCTATCAGCAATCACTACTTCAACAGATGCCCTATCCCATTGCCGCAAACCGTCGAACGCCTCGAATTCATCGTAATTTGAAGCATTCTTCATCTGGGTATCGATGGGTTTCGATTGTACATTGATGGGGAGGTGAATGGGTCTGAGAGAACGGAGGAGTTTCAGAGATTCCAACTTGGAAAGTGCCTCTTCTACCCATTGGTCCCATAAGCTCATCTCCATTTGCTGACACCAAAGAAATGCTAATGCCGTGAACAAATTGAGTTCAATATATATACTTGAAACTAGAAGAGCCGAGAGAGAGAGAGAGAGAGAGAGAGACAGAGAGAGAGACGAATAGTGTTGTATTTGTTGTAGTGAGCTGTTAGAGCGAGAAAACAAACCCAATTGGTAGTTGGAATTGGAAAGTCACGAGAGAGGTTTGGCCATTTTAAAGAACGTTTTCGGGGGCGGCAAAACGGTAATTCTACTAGTACACCGCATAAAATTTTAAAAAACGTTTTTTTTTTTTTTTTTTGGGTAATAAAAAGATATTATAAAGCTAAGATAAGTCAAGTACAAATCTGAAATAAGAAGTTCCTATGACATCCATACAAACATGTTCAGTAATAAAACTAGGCATGGTAGGACAAATATGAAGGCCTTCAGTCAGCTTGTGTCCTTCTTTGGCCAACAGCGCCGCACAAGTGTTTGCTTCACGAAAAATGTGATGAATTTCCTATACTCTGAGATGGTTGAGGAGCCACCTGCAATCAGAAATTAGATTACTAAATGGATGATGTATTGGAGGCCGATTGTTCAACAGATGTTGCAAAGTGGTTGCACCTGTCTCTACTTCAATATTAGGCATGTTGAGGTCTCTTGCCAATTGTAACCCATCACGAAGTCCCCACAATTCTGCTGCTACACTAGTTGTGTACCTAATGTTGTGGCTAAATCCACTGATCCAAGTACCATTAGAATCTCTGATGATACCCCCTGCTGAGGCTGCCTTAGGATTGCCGAGAGCTGCTCCATCAATGTTGAGTTTGAATCGGGAAAAGTCGGGAGGTTTCCAGTTCACGAAGGATAAAATCTTGGTCTTGGGTGGGTGAGGAAAATTTGAGATGAATTGCCAATGAACGGCAACAGCAGTGATGGCGGTAGGGTTGATGAGGGGGGTGGGTTGGTATCAAAACAAAAGGCGTTGCGGTGTTTCCAGATGGTCCAACAGGTGAGGGGAAAAATGATAGCCCAAAGACACGATTGATGGTAAACGTTCGATTCACAATTAATGCGGAGCCAATGGGGAGTGTCTGAAGAGAATGAGGGGGTGAGGGATTCGGGAATGCCTAGGCGGGTCCAAAGGGCCCAAGAAGAGGGACAATCACGCAGAGCATGGGTGATGGTTTCAGGGTGGGATTGGCAACAGGGACAAAGGTTGTCTTGAGTAATCTTTCGAGTGAGAAGGAAAGATTGGTGGCTAATCTGGCATGTGAAGCAAGCTAAAGGAAGTGTTGAATCCGGAGGGTGGTGGGCGCATGCCAAATCCATGACCAACTAAGGAAAGGAGGGGTAGAAGATGGTTTGAGGGCAAGGAGGTAAGCCGATTTATTGGTGAAAATACCATCATGTGAGGATGTCCAAGTGAAAGTGTCTTCAGCGTGAGCATGCCAGAGAAGTGTGGTGCTCTCAATTTTGGATTTAATAAGATTGAAGAGGATGATGGAGAAACAGTCAAGATTCCAATGGTGGTCAACCCAACAATGGTTAACTTTGAGGCCCAACTCTCTAAGGGTAAGGGGGCCCTGTATGTGGCTGCGGATGCTCCCCACACCTAGCCAATTATCAAAACCAAAATGAGGTGTGGCTACCAGTTTTGACTAGTTTATATGAGCCATCATTGAATAACTCTCTACCTTTCCTGGTACTGCGCCAAGTATGGGAATGTCTACTTGAGATTTTTGTTTCCGTGGAGTATTTAGCCCTTAGAAATTTGGTCCAAAAGGCTTCCTTGTCTGAGTGAAATCTCCAAATGAGTTTGGCCATGGCAACTAGGTTGGACAGGTGAGATTAGCGGATACCTAGACCTCCTAGGTTTTTAGGCTTGGTGACTTCATTCCAATTGATGGCATGTATTTTTCGGTGATTGGGGGAGGAGCCCCACAAGAAGTCCCTGTTGAGTTTATCAATATGGTTGGTGACCGATTTGGGAAGGGAGTGGCATTGCATCACGTAAGCTGGGATGGCTGAAGTGACGGCCTGAATGAGGGTGCTTCTACCTGCAAGGGAGAGGGTCTTGGCTTTCCAGCCAGAAAGCTTTTTTTGAATTTTTTCAATGATGAATCTGAAGGTGGCCTGGTTGGGTCTCTCTTGAAAGATGGGACAACCCAAATATTTGCCAATGGTTTGGGAGATAGGAAATTGGAGGATGTTAGCCAAGTGATTGCAATGGGATTGGTTAACATTATTAGAGAAGAAGATTTTTGATTTGGTGGTACTAATTTTTTGGCCCGAAATGGCGAAAAAATCATCCAAAATGGTTTTCATCGTGATGCAGTTATTTTCGGTCGCTTCACCAAACAAAATGATGTCATCCACAAAGAAGATGTGGGAGAGGTAGGGGCAATTTTTCTGGCAATTTTGATAGGTTTCCAAGATTTGTCCATGCAAGCTTGAGAAATGGAGGAAGCTAGATATTCCAAGCAAAGAATAAAAAGATATGGAGAAAAAAGGTTCCCTTGGCGAATGCCCCTAGACGGAGTGAAAGTTTCAGTAAGATCACTATTGAAAATGATGGCAAATTCCGTGGAAGAAA